GTGGAGATGGTCACTGGGGCAACTCACTGCCTTACAAAAACTCCTCTGGGCAGGGGCCCCTTCCTCCTTCTGTCTGCAAATGCAGCTTGCAGCGAGGGCATGGCTAACCAATTGCAGGAACCTATGCCTGAAGAAGGGTGATTGCGTCCAAAAGCTTGCTAGGAACTTTTCCCCAAGTACTCAGTTGATCTAATAAAAGATACCACATCTACTCAAATAACCTTGCCCGATTGCAGGAACAGCACTCAGGAACGTTGAGCAGGACACTGGACATCTGGACCAAGTAGTTTACCCCAAAAGAGGGTTGGCCCTTGCCCCCGTGCCCTGAGATGGGGCTGGAGCCAGGCCAGCAGTGATGCAGGCAGAGCACTTCCACCAGGGGGCACTGGTGTGGCCCATCATTGCCCCCCTGTGGCTGCAGCCAGCAGCCAGCCAAACCCACAGGTACCAGGCTGGCAGCAGGGCCAGACTGCTGCTGCTTGGCACCCTGCTCTCTCTGAGACAGCAGGGCCTCCCTGGGCATCTTTACCAGTTACAAAGAATACTCAGACCCTAGCAGGCAAGGAGAGCAGGTCGTGGTATATCTTTCCCTGCAAGGCAGCACTGGGAGCAGTTCTATTTCCCTGGCAGGCACTGAGATCCCAGGAATGAAGACTCATTTCTGCACTCTCTGATTAAGACAAAGGGGGAGCTGGACAGGCACCACAGGCAAGGTGCCCTGCCTGGCAGCTCCATCTGCACCTGCCCAGACAGGCCCCTTCCTCTGCCAGCCACAGGCCAGGAGAGCTTTGTTGCTGGCCCCTGTTGTTGCTGTGCTGGGGCAGGCCCCAGCCCTGGACTCAGTGCCTTCACATCAAGGTTTTTTTTTTTTTTTAATTTCATGCCTCAGGCCAAATTAGCCAAATCAGTTCTGAATTCTATCGACTGAGCAGAGCTCGGTAGTTCAAGTCTGTGTGGCACTACCACCTGGGGCTTCAGATACTCCTAAATCTATGGCAGACATCCTATGTGCAGGCCCCACGCTTGGAGAACTTGGAGTTCAGATGCTCCCAAGTCTCACTTTCCCTTAGTCAAAAAACCAAAGCAAGCTTGGGAGAAATCCTCCATCTCCATAAAAATAAAACATGTAACCAAGATCCTCCCATTGGGAGGCTATAGTAGATTCTTATAGGGGTGCCTGCCCACAGTGCATTGGACGAGTCTCCACTCTTAACTACACAAAGACATTCAAGGTGATCTTGGCCCACAAAAGGCCGAAATCCCACATGCAAGCCCCTGTGCAGGAACCACACTTGATCTGGGCCAAAAGGCTGAGAAGCGATTGAGAAGGGCACAGGAAAAGAAAGTGCTGCAGCTGCTGGATCCCCAGGGAGTCCCAGAGCAGGGGTAGTGAGACCAGCTCAACCAATTGGATCATGGGAGGTTGGAAGTGATGTGCCATATGCAGATTCCTACATCCTGACTGGCTGCCACCCACAGCAGCACCCTCCACCCCACATCTCCATAGTGCGTGCTGTCTTCTGTGGCACCAGACTGGCCAGTAGGGCAGCAGTTCAAGGGACTTCTTTGCATGGTCTCAGGAAGCGGCAGGATCTGGTGGCACACCCACTGGCTTACTGTGATGAGCTAGTGCTCCTTTTGCTGCACCAGCCCCTTGCGCCTCCCCCCCCACCCACTCACCATGGCTGTGGGAGGGCCAGGAAGGTGATTTGCATATGGCTTTCCCTTTATGTTGCATGCATGGCCCTGGATGCTCCTTTTGCCCATGTCTGCCCCCCATGCCACCCTCTGAGCCCCAAGGACTCTGCATCATATCCCAAGGCAGTCCCTGCAAGCACAGGGCAGGGGCATCCTGGGACTTACTGGCGCCTTGGCTGGCATGCTGGCAGCCACGCTTCTCGCCTGTGCTGGACTGGCTGGAGTTGCAGGAGTCATAGTTGGACAAGGTGCTGGTGGGTGACCCGATGTCAAAGTGAGCCTGCTGAGCCGACATAGTGGTGTTGGGCGATGACATGCCTGAGTCAGGCTGCTTGAGCTCCAGATCAGCAGAGGGGTCACGGGACAGGACACGGTGCTCCATGCTCTGCAGGTCCAACAGGCACTGTGTTAAGTCCTGATAAGTTCTGCCCAGTGGCTCTTCTACCTGGAATCTGCTGTCCTGTCTTATTGCCAGCAGAAGGACCTGGGAGCACCTCTCCACTTGGCCCCCAAGTGAAACAGCTGTGGAGTCCATGCACTCCATTAGTGTGGGTGCACACAGGACCAGGGAGGGTCCAGCTCAGAGATACCTGAAAGCCCCAAGAAAGTGCTTTATCACTCAGGTCTGGGAGTCAGGACCTGAGCCAGGGCATGTGGTGCAGGGGTCTGGATAAAGGAGTTTGGAGTCACAGGGGCATGGCTACACTGATTGTCCCTATGCTGGGCCCTGGGAGTCAGGCATGTGGATTTGTAAGTGGGTGAATGAAGAGTGAGACTAGCATCTCCTTTCCCTAAACAATTTCCATATCTGTGAGCAGCCCAGCCCTCTTCCAGCTGTGACTGCCCCCTTCCATCTCAGCAGCTGACCCCAGGGTGAGCCTGCCAGCCCCTGTCTGGCTGCAGCCCCTACAGGAGGAGCTCTCTGGCCTATTCCTGAAGCTCCCTGCCCCCCCCGCCCCCGAGCTGGGAGATGGGACTCATGCTGCCCCTGCTTCTGACTCACTGGGTCATTTTGTGCTTGTGGGCCTGCTGTGGTGCAAACACTTGTTGAGCTCATTGCAAACTGCAGCCCTGCTCTCCCTTGGGGCCATTGCAGGCATCCTAGCTATTCAGGGCATCCCAGCTGCATTCATTACCTGGTGGCTCCAGCTGCCAGGTGTTCACCAGTTCTCATAATGAAGGAGCCCAAGGGAACACCATTCTGGGACAGGGCATCCCTTGAGCCCCAGTCTGTCAGAGTTGAGTGGTAGCAGGAAACACAAACCCAGGGCTGCTCAGCTGCAGCCTAATGACCTGCACCCTCCCCTGCAGCACAGCAGGGCCCGGCTTCTGGAGTGTGAGTGGTATACACCAACCTCTAGCAACTGCCTCCAGGTACCATTTTGCCGAATGCTGTCAGCAAGGCACTGGCAGATCAGCTGCACTGGGTATCATGAAAGCCAAGGAACAGAATGGGCTGGCAGAAACCCAGTGAAGGACAGTGCTGTGCACTGCACCCGCAGCCTGCTGCCCCCTGGATCACCATGCTGAGTGGGCTTGTCCCCACCTCCTTTCTGCTCTGGCTTTTCCCCCCCATTCCCAGTGTAGCACCTGCCCTATGCCCAGCCCAGCTGGGAGTTAGGAAGGTGTTGGCAGCATGCCCTACCATGTTCTCAACAGTGCGGAGGTACTTGGCACAGTGGTTGTGCCCATTGTAGTCAGCGAGATCGGCAGCTGTATAGCCATCATGGTCCCGCACCCCCAGGTTAACGCCATTCACAACGAGGATCTGGCAGCACTGGAAGGAGATGACAAGAGGAACAACTGGATAAGGGAGGGCCCAGCAGGACACCTGCCTTCAGGCTGTCACCCAAGGCAGTGTGAGACTAGGCCCTGCTGTGAGAATGCTGCATGCAGGCAGGTCCACACCATTGCACTACAGAGGGTAGAGCTGTTGTTCCAAGGCACGATGTCCCCATCCCTCCCACCCCTCCCCTGCCTTGCCCTGCCAGAGGCTTTTCCCTGCAGACGGCCCAACACCACCCATCCATCCCTCATGCAGGCCCTTGTGCTCTCCAGAGCCCAGGTGCTCTTAGGACAGGCCTGTCCCCATCCCCCAGCATGGCTGTGTCCCCACCCCTGCCCTGCTGACCTCCAGCTCCCCATTCTCAGCTGCATCATGCAAGGGCGTGCCACCCCAGGTGTCGGTGCAGATCTCGCCCCCATGCAGTAGGAGCCAGCTCAGCACTTTGGCATGGCCACGGCTGGCCGCGAAGTGCATGGCAGTGGCACCATCGTCATCCTGCTCCGAGAGGCTGATGTCCGTGAAGCTCATCTGTGAAAGGCCAGAGGGCAGGCAGGGGAGAGGGTGAGTGGCTTGGGACCATCTGGGTGGGTAACACAGCAAGCCGCCCACAAATGCACTAGTCTCAGGGGGAGCCAAGCCCCAGGGGTTTTCCCTCATTCTCCATAAGACTCCCTGAATAGGAGCCTGCCCACAGTAAGACCAAAGGCCCCATCCCTCCTAGAGCCTAGACCTTAGGGGACACTCAGAAGTGGGAGGCTGGTGTCCAGACCTCAGTGCACTCTTCCACCAGCCAGCCTCATGGCCTGTGCTGCCTAGGTGGGCACTCACCAGCCAGACGATGACCGTGTTGTGGCCCATCTGGGCGGCAGCATGCAGGGGGGTCATCCCATCATTGGCGCGTGTGTGGGGATCAGCCGCACAGTCCTTCACCAAGTACTGGACAGTCTCCAGGTGGCCTTCCTGGCAGGCTAGGTAGAGGGGTGTGGCACCATTCTTGGTCTGTGCACTAACCGTGCTGCAATGAGAGCAGGGCAGGCTGGCAGTGGGTTGTCTGGCACCCTGCATTGCCCCTTCCCCCTACCTGGTCCACCTCAGCCAGTCACACTGACAAGCCCCTGTGCACAATGTACCAGTGCAGCATGCCAGGCACCTCCTCATGACCAGCTACCTAGAGTAAGAGCCTCCTACAGCTGCCAGCTTGTGGAACTGCATCTTCAGCTCAGGCAGTGCGGGGTGTGCTCTGGGTGACAAGGGACATTCCTGCCCATCCCACCACAGGGAGCTAAACAAGAGCCATGGTGCTGGGTAGGGCATGGGATCAGCTCAGCACTGTTGAGCACCCCTGGGCCCTGCAGGGTATGGGTGCTAATTACCACTGGGACAACCTCATGGAGTGCCTCTCCACCCTGCTCTGCTCCCCCAGCACTCAGCACACTCCCTGCTTGGTCACACACTCTGCAGCAGGTCACAGTTAATCAGGGCACTTAGGCTAATCTTCTCCCTCCCTCTGGCTGCCTTTGGACGCTGCCATTTAGCAGCATTGTTCAGTAAGCAGCTTAGGCACCAATAAACACAGGGAGGTGGCAGCAGGCCCCGCTCACTGGAGACAAGGGAAGAGGTAAAATGGAAGGGGTGTTTGTATGAAGCAGGAGGCCAGTCTGGTACGGCAGGAGTGGGGCAGCTGGGGCCTGGTGAGGGGGCTGAGACTGAAGGTGTGAAGGCAGGGCATGCCTACTGAAGGCAGTTAAGCAGGTAATACAGACAAGGAGCCAGGTCTGCCCTCACATCCTGCCCTGGGCTCTGTGGGCTCATTGGCTGGGACACAGGGCAGACAGACCCCTTTTCCAGCACCAAAGAGGCCATGCAATACAGAGCAGCAAAGAACTCTAGGTCAAGTCCTTGGTGCTGAAATTCCTGGGGCTCAGCTGAGCCCTACCGATCACAACTCAGCCCTGGGGCTGAGCCTGTCAGACAGGCAGGTGCACTCAGCTCCTGCTCCTTCTGCTTTTGGCTCACCAGGGGTTGCCCACTCTATATAAGATTGTTTAATATTTCATTCTGAAAGAGCAAGAAACACTTCAGGGTGTTCTCAAATATGTCCCAGCCCCTTAATAATTGATCCTGTCATTCTGAGATGCTGGCAGCCACAGCCTTCCCCTCCTTACAGACCACCCCACACCCCAGTGCCTGCCACTCACCTGCTCTCAGAGCTGCCTCTGCCTAGTGCTTTAGCAGTCAGGTGCCAGACCACGTAAGTGAGACCTGAGCACTGTGCTGGAACAACTGTGCCATGGGCACTGCACTGGGGGCTGCCCCAGTGCCCAGTCTGAAAGCAGAGAGACAGGGAGTACCCAGACCCAGCAGTGGGGCTGGAGGCCCAGGGCAGGAGGAGTAGGGAGGGACCCCTGGCCTTGTGCCTGTCAGCCTCTGCCTGGTAATTGTAGAACAGATAATAGCACTTGACTTGATTACCTGCTAATTACAGGAATGGTTGCATATTTAAGCTCATAATTAGTGGTTTTCCAACTCCAGAACAAGGCAATGGGTTGTTAATCAATTTCAGTAAGGCAGCTTGGAGCTGTGGGATCCCCTCCCGGTGGCCATGTGGGCAAAGTGCTGGGCCAGATGGTGGGGCCTCAGGATTGGCCCCAGTGGTCTCTGCACCAGCTGCTGGCTCTAACTGGAGGGATCTGGACTGTCTGATATACCTGGCTGGTACAAGCCCTTCAGAGCCACCCCATGGACCCTGGATTGTGGGTTCACCCTGCTCAGGGAGAGCCTGGGCCCAGACCTCTCACTGCAGGCATCTGGAGGGGCTATGCCTGTGGTACACAGTGGCAGTGACAGTGGAACCAGACCTGGGAATCAAACAGTCCTGCTGCCTCAGCTTAACAGGCCACAGACCCTAGCCAGGTTGTGTAGCACTGCCAAGCACCACAGGCTCCATCTGGGGCTAAGCTCCACAGTGTTCCTATGGCTGGAATGCAAGCGATGCAGCCATGTGAGCTGGAGAGGGCTGGGAGCAGGCACTGCTAGTGCCCGAGGGAGCTGAGGAGGGCTTCAGCAAGGAGCTTTGGGCAACTATGGTTAATGCACTGCTCAGGTCCAGGGGCTGCTGGACCCAGCCCCTGTGCTTGAGCGCTGTAGTGGAGACATGGCTGTACAGCGCTACCCCTCGGTGATGCCCTCCTTCTGGAACATCAGCATGCTCCCTTACAGGTTGGAGCCGCTCTTGCTTCTAGCCCCCAGGCCTGCTGCCATCCTGATAAGCTATATCTCCACACCCCATTGGGGACATGCCAGCAGCTGAAGCTTGCTATTGCTACACAATTTACAGCCTGTCCCTTCTCCCAAGCTCAGTGGCCCCGCTTAAATCATCACTCCCCAGATCTGCTCTATTGTGTTGGGGCTCAGATAGCACCAAAGGCGCCAGGACAATGCTGCCTGTCACTGCAGTGGGTGACAGTGGTGGGGCCAAGACCCAAGCAAGTGGTGGGGTTAGCACTGTCCCACCAGCAAAGGGGCTTGTAGCACGGTGGGACAGGCAGGTGCATGTCAAGGAGCTGAGGCCTCTCCACTGAAGGCTGCTGCTGCCTATGGACCATAGCTTAAGACTCAAGTGTGCAGAGCTGGGGGGCATCCCCAGGACTAAGGGCATCTGCAGTTGAGGGGATTCTTACCTGCCCCAGGCACTCACCCCAGCTGTAAATGGGAAGGGCAGAAGTGCTGGAAGCCCTCCTGAGCCTTCCTGGCTGCCTCTGTTAACTTGGACATGCACCATGTTCTCAGCCCTAGGGCCCAGGGGTGGTGGTGCTGCCTCCAGCCAGAGCTGACATGCTTGTAACTGCCAGGGGAGAGTGTCTGAGACTGTAGTCCCCAGACAGGAGAGGGAGCAACCCACACTGGGTCTGTGGAGCTAGACTTATGCTGTGGCTCAGCCTGCAGCTCCCCAGGAACTCAACCTCCTCCCTGCACTCTGCTGAGATTTGGCCTTACACTTTCCCTCAACTCAGGCTGTGCCCCTTGTCCTGCCATCACCCCTGGCCCTGGAGCCTAAGGTCTGCATTCCTCTAGCCTAGTGCCAGCTGGAGTCTCAACTTTGGTGCCAGGGATACTGCATGGAGCTAGGGAAAGGGCAGCTGCAGAAACTGAAGGAAACTACTGGCGAGATAGACAGACAGGAAGTTGCAAGGGAAGGCAGGGAGTTTGCACTGAGTTCTCCTGCAGAGGGTCACTGCTTATCCTTTGGCCTGGCAGCAGGCTTTGCAATGGTCCCTCTACACCCTCCTGACTCACCAGACCGACTGGCTGCAGGGATGCAGAGCAAGAGCCCTGCCTCCTGTGTGTCTGTATTAGTTTCCCCAGACTAGCTGACAAGAGGTTGGCTGCTGCTGGTTGCTATAGCAATCCCAACAAACAATGCAGGATGGAAAACGGCACTGGTTACCATTGATTGCCATTCGCCAAGCTGATTAAGAATTAATAAGGCAAAGCCTGTGGCAGTGATCAGGTTTAAGAGATGCAGATTAGGGGCAGTATTAGGAGTGCTGCAGAGAATGTCCTCAGCCTTGCCCAGATGGAGCCTCCAGTGGCTGGCGTCCATCAGCCTGTCAGCCGTAGGCCACTGTTGTCCATAATGCCAATTACATTAATTTAGCCACTAAGGTTTAATACAGTCTGCAGGCCTGGCCACAACATGTGGATAAAAGGTGGCTAGTGGCTGGATAGGCAAGGTTACTTTCATGCCACTTTGGCCAGTACCCACCTGTTGGCTGCAATGAGTGGCTCATGATGTGGCATGATCTGCACAAGGAACAGCTTTGCAGGGGGGTACCAGGGAGAGGGAAGGGATCCAGTAGAGACAGGGGGAACCTTTGGCCCATGTCTAGGCCTAAATGGACTAGAGGTTTGCTCAGTGGCAGGACCCTCAGGGATGGATGCTACATAAACACCATGGGGAACTGGCCAATGCCATGTGAGTAGTTGGCCACAGAATTCTGCAGTGCCTGGCTCTCCAGCACACAGGCACCTGGACCAAGCACAGGGAAGCCAGTAATAAGCAAGAAGCCAGCCAGCCAGAGCTCACAGTGGCCAGTAACCTGGCCCCTGCTGCGAAGGCTTCATCCTGTGCAATGGGACAGGTGGAGGAGATGCCAGGATCCCTAGCAAAGGCACTCAGGCAGCGCAGGCCCAGGGGACCAGAAGAAAGCTGTTATATATTGACTACCTTGTGCTGTCCTGGGGAATGCCCCTAGTTCCAGCCAAGTCCAGGGGCTGGACAGCCTCATCTGCACGTGCTTGGCTCAGACCTGTGGGAGTGCAGCCACAACCTGGCCTGCAGGGAGTGTACTCCATCCTTACACCACTGTTCCATGAGAGCCAGACTGCATGTGCATGTTCCCCACAAAGCCAGGGCCTGGGCTGCTCCTGTGGCAGTGCCTCTTGGTTGCCAGGAGCTGCTATGGCCCTGTTCACAAGGTTTTTGTGCATGGAGTCACAAAGGTAAGGAATAAACTTGGAACATGTTGCACTGTGGAGGCTACATGCAGGCAAGAATGCTACACTTGAGCAAGGGAGAGTTGGAAAGGTGTATTAGGGCGGGGCCCACTCACTGTTAGGGGCTGCATCCTGTGTAGGCAGTTCTCCTAAGCCCGCACAGCTCAGCTTCCATGAGACAATAGCCAGGAAGTAGGGAAACTCATTTGCCTGTGCTGCCAGCACTTTCTCTCCCAGCACCCAGGTAGCCTGAAGGAGAAGGGGCAAGCACTCACCCTGCACACCAAAAGGTGAGAAACAGGGATGCAACACAAGGCAAAAAGCATGAGAAGCACAGGAGCCATGGGCAGAGGAACAAACTGAGGTGGGTAGGAGAATGTATGGGGAACCCCAAATGAGAGGGGCCTGGAACTATCTCCCACAATTGGCAGCCTGCATTCTAGCATTCCTTACATTTTAAGGCTTTGCAACCAGATCTTTCAGTTTAACACAGTTATTTTTGCTACCTTCTCCACTCCC